ATCCCAGAGAGCCAGTCAGAGATTCAAGTCCACTTAGAAGAGCATGACACTGTAATAAAAGCATTGCATTGTGTTTCTTGCATCCACAAGCCATGGAGTCGCTCTAGATATTCTTTATGTTTAGGCAGCTCGACTATCTCAATACAGTTCCCTGTCTGGCAGAGAGGGGAAGGCTGGGTGAGTGCAGTGAATCTGTCACTTGTAGCAGACAAGAACATCTTGTACTTGAGCTCTTGTTGAGTAGGTTCAAAAGGCAGACAAAGCGGCAGACTTATTAGATTTTTTTTTAACTGGAGTATTAAGAAGTAAAAACCTTATAACATTCTATTAGCATTCCCAATCCTTATTTTTTAGGCAATCATCACTAAAATCAAAAGACACTTCTGAAGGCTGGAATAGCTAAAACTAAGGAGACAGACTGAACCAACTCAATATTCCCATCTCTGCTAAGCAACAGACAAGAGAGGCAAAAAAGCAATTTGCAGCAATCTGAAGGGTGCTTTGACCAAGGAGGAAAAGGTCAAGCTAAACTAAGCAGCACGTAAATAGGAATAATGGAATGAAAGCATGATAGGGATAAAAAAACCTGAATTCTATTATTTCACTATGGAATTCTCCCTTAAAGGGAGAGAAATTAATCCCTTATGACATTCTGAGTAACTCTGGAAGATCCTCACACTTGCAGCAGGATGTACAAATATACTTTTTGGCATTTCTCACTTCCACAATTTGTAAGAATGATGTCACATGTGATATGCCAAAAACCCAGGGGTGAAGCACCAACTAATACCTCTGATTTGCTCATCTTTAATACTAGTATGAGTTGTGTATGCATGTGAAGAATAATAGGATTTTCTGAGCAAGGAGAACAACTGCTAATGGTCATTACATTAGGTCAGAGAACTGTTACCATCATGCTCTTGAGCAAGCATATGTTGTCCAGGGAAAGTAAGCACCTTTAAAACCCAGTGGCTGTGTTAAATCCCACGACATCTGCCTAAGTATCTATGGGGTTTTAAAGGCAGCTTCTAACCCTTGTCAGTCTTACGGCATTGCTGACACCACTGCGTAAAATTAGCAGACCTGAGAGAACTTACTACAACTCAGCTTTTCAGATGTTTTACTTGGTTTCAGACTGTAAACTTTGCGTAACTATTGAAAAATCATGGCTAGAGACACAAGAAATGAATGCAGCAGGAACTGCATATTTCTGAAGAGCTACATTTCGCTCCCGTCCCAGTGATTCGCCTGCCGCATGTCTCTGAATGAGTCATCAGTGCAGGGGAAATACCTCCAAATTAGCAGATTAGGAACAGCAGATCCTGCAGATTTGGGCAGACTGTCACAGCTATGCTCCTTCCAGATCCAAGCCCTCTATGCCTATGCAGGTCTGATGACCTTGGACTGCACAGCTCTGGACATCCTCCTGCCAGCATCAAGCAGTGTACATTCAGCACAACGCCCCGCCTGGACAAAAAGCATTCTCCTTCAAGACTCTACTCTTCCTTGGGCACACAAGCTGGTGACAAAGCGGGGAATTCAGATGGGGAAGAGGGAAACAAAGGCACACGGTGCTGGTGCAACCACCCAACCCAGCAATGCCTTCAGAAGCAAGTCCTGGCCCTCACACACATCCATACCAGGACACAGGAGTGCAAACTTATTACATAACTTATACTGAATTATGCAATCCTTTAGCACTCATTAACAAGCAGAGGCTACCACAAGTTACTAGCGAAGGCAATCTGAGAAATGAATAAACATGATCTGTTCTAACAATAGCCAACCCATATTTTTGGGCCAAGAAATTGTGCATATTACCCCAGGAATAAAAGTTACTTAACTTTAATAAGTAACAGGTTCACTACTAGTATTAAAAAGACAAAACCAGGAATACTCTTGTTTGCATAAGTTGCAGTTGATCTTATTTGGTAAGACTGTAAGTGTCCTAATTTGGTTTTAAAAGTAAAATCAATTGTAAATTTATTTAGAACAATTTACCTGCCTGCCTGTTGTACATCACTGGGCCTGTATTGATTGTTTGAGATGGAACTCATTCCAAATTGTATTGATTTAATTCATTAGCAAATTTTTAGCAAAGCATATTTTGTTGTTTCAGGGCAGAAGTACATAAAGCTCCATTTAGAAACTACAGGACTGAGCAGGGGAGGTATGGGAGGGGGGCTAGAATTTCTCATATACATGAGATTTACATGCAGCAATATGAATCATCTGTTTCTGATGAAAGATCTGTTTCCTAAACAATAAATAAGAAAAACTAGGACTGGGAAAAACCTAGATACATTGATGGGGGAAAAAAATCCAGTTGGTAAAATAAGAATGGGGTGAATAATGCAAGAATAGCACAGTGTATTGGTCGTTTTAACAGACGTTTTGATTTATGGATTTAAGTGCCTAAAATAGCTCAACAATTTATAAATCATCTTAAAATCAACAGCTCATGAGTAGATTTGTCTGGCTTTACAGCAAGGCAGTCAAGCTGCATTTGTTACCTTGGCAACAGAAGGCACCTCTGTTACCATGGCTACAGCTCCCTTAAAATATGGTTGGCAATTCCTCCCTCCCCAACTTTTGTGACTATTTTGAAAAGGAATTTAAAAAACAAAAAAAGAAGAAATCCTACTCTGTCAACACTTGCACTGAAACAAAAGGTCTGCAAAATGCAAATTTTGTCAACCCACAACACCAGTTTGAAGATAAGCTAATTTTTCTGCTGCAAATCTTTACCTCACTGAGACACTATTATGAAGAGTTTAGGTCTGGGAATCTACAATCTTGGATTATGAAGAGCTTGATCATAACATAGTCAGCTCAACATTTCACATCAAAACCCATCTCTGCTGCTCACTGGAAGAAGTGGTGCAGAAATGGACTCCTACCACATTGCAAATTCTTTGTGTATCAAAGCTCCCCACAAACAGGCAGCTGCCTGGATTGCAAAATGAGATATGGGAAAAAGGGTTAGAGATCCTGGATTCTTGTTTTTGAGGCAGATGAAGTGGCAACAGGGAGTACATTCACCTCCCCGGGCTCCAGTCAGCACCCAAGATGTGCTTCCTATGTCTCTGGAAAGGCTGGCTTTATGGAGGAAACCATTTACTGCACTCAAATTAGTGTCCTCTGAATTATCCTGATGTTAGAGTGGCATTTATGTTGCTAAACTGCAAGTAATCTGTTTAGGGAAGTTGCTTGCACCTAATGCATCAAGATGGGAAAAGGCTTTTCCATCTTTCCAGGAAATTGTTCACCTTAATCTGATACACAGTGCATTCAAGGAAGAGGTCACAATGTCTCTTTCACCTCATTGAGGTTATGCTACGATTTAAATATAAAATTTATATTTAAATAAATTTATATTGAAAAAAAATATTTCAAGCTCTGAGAAATAAATATTAAAAAAAAAAAAATCACAAACTTTGATTTGGGTATCTTCTAATTCCAGCTAGCTCTGTGTTTTAAAATCAACTTTAACTTTCCCTCCCTAGGAAACAGTTTTTTGTGCTCTCCCACAACATTCAGTTGCACATAGTTGGTGTTATAAGCAGGCTCATGGCAGCACACAATTGCCACAAATCACTTAATAATTGGAAATGGAGTAAGTGAAAATAAGCCCTCCAGGGTGAATGCTATTTTTTATCCTTGTTCACTAACAAAATACCTGGCTTGAACACAAGTCCTGCTTTTCTCCACCCTTTTCCAACTTCACCCCCAATCCCCTCTCACTTTCCTCACTTTCCCCCTTTTCCTCTACTTTTCCTCAGTTTCTCACTTTATGCAGTTTTGTGCCTATTATGTGGATACTTGCTAGGTAAGATTCCCAGAAGTGATTAGTGATTTCTGGTGATTCACAATTATTCAAAGTTTGGAGTCTCCAAACCAAAATCTCCTGAAGGGCTAAATTTAATATGCCATCAGTGTAATCATAGTATTACTTCTGATAATGTTTCTTAGTGTTGAGGACTTCAAAGTCACATGACAAAGTATTGAAGACACTAGAAAGGGCAAATGTTTTCTAGAAAGGAAATGTTTTCACCCTTTTCTTAACCCCTAGTGGCCATGCCCTCTGGTCATTGATGTCACAGGGTGGCACAAAGAGTCTAAGGGCCTACACAGATCTGAGTACTGCCCCCCATTCTTTACACCCCACACACATATTCTCTGTGTGTTGCACTCGCTGCACTGCAAGGTTAATAGGGAGAACATGGCTCAAAGACCAAGCTGGAATTTCACAACCAGATAGCTTTGAACTCTGCAAACCCAAGTTCTGGGGGACCATAGCTTGGCCAGCAGACACAGTACCCTAACAGCAGCCCAGCACTCAAAAATTCACAGATTATCCACCCCTGGGGAAATTTAGATACTAAGGTACAGATTTTGTACACTATCCCCTAATTCTAGCTATTCAAGATCTCAGTACTGGTAGTTGTGTAGTCAAAGTTAAAACACCATACTTGAGAAACAGGCTGTAAACACAACCACCTTGTTCGTGGGATGGAAGTAGTACCTACTTGTTTTGCCTTACAAAACAGTTGCAGAGATCAATGCCTACATTAACATTTCAACAGCACTTCCAAGAGGTCAAGTTCCACCCTGTTAAATGCTACAGAGTGTTTTGGATTCTTTGTAATGCAAGTAGATGCATAATATTAAAACAGAACTATTTCAAATGAAAGGTATTTCCTTTATGTCTGAGGTTAGCATTCAGAAACAGAGTTGGTTCTTCAGCCACACTTAGTATTGTACCTTCATGTGTACTTAAATAAACCTAAGAAATGAAAATACACCACAGATGATACAGCTGAAAGACTGTAAGCAATAATAGATGGGAGGGGCTTATTATCCAACAAGATGTTGAGTGTACTGCAGAACACAGGCTAAACACAGTTGCATAATATTGCTAGCAAACCTTTTAGAATATTGTACATTCCTTTCACCTTGTGCAGAGAGCAAATTTTCTCTAGGTTTAGGCTATGACTTACCTTGTGATCCTTTCTGAGTATTTCCATCTTTCTTTTGACCTTGACTGCACAAGAGGTTGATTTTAGAAATGCTTGCTTGTTGCTTATGCAATACACTTCCCAGAAGGGGTTCAAAGGGCTCTTCCCAAGCCTTTTGTGGCCCCAGCTGAAAGGGGTTAACAGAGAGATGCACTTATTGCAGCACTAGATGAAGGAGAGGCTCTCACCTGCAAAGGGCTCTTGGGAGCCCTTTTGACAGTGCCAAGCAATCAGCCCTGGACATCCTCCCACTGCAAGACCTCCACAGCTGCCAGCACTGAACTGGTTTATGGGAGGGGTGATCACCACGTGTAGCTGATAGCAGGGTTGGTATCATAGGTACTAGATGTGGCTCACCAATCCAACCTTAAAAACATAACAATGAGGACAAGACTTCATTGCTCTCCTCCATGTAAGGACAGAGCTTTTATGCTATTGTGTATTGTGGCTTGACTGGGTACAGTAGGAGAACATATTATACTATGGAAAGAAAGGATGCTGCAACTTTTTCCTTGAAATCAGGATGGTACTGTCAGCAAGAGGGTTAGTAACTTGCTCTTAACTGCCCTATGTCACTTACCATGGTGGCAGCTCATGCCATGGCAGGTGCCCTCATGAGTCTGGATTGTACATTATGCTTTCTGTATATTTCACATCCATTCTTGCCCGCAAAACAGTGGAATTTCACCAAAATGAAAATGGGCTGTTTTTCGTGAGATGTTAGAAAAATAATAAAAAAATTACTGGGAAAGCAAAGTGTGTGACTGCCCAAACAGGAGACTGGCAACAAATGGCCACTTTATGGCTCCAGTTGCTTACTTCTGACACATTGAAAAGTAGAGCCACAGAAACACATATTTCTATACGTTTATGTATATTTATATATTTTTATATATTTTTTTTTATATAAATATCTTTATATATTTTTGTCTTCAGAGAGACAGAATTGATGTTAAAAAAAGTACCCTCAATCTGGCTGGTCTTAGTCAAGACAGAATATACAGAATCCTTTAGACTGGAAGTGACTTTTAACGATGATCTTGTCCGACACCCTGCAATGTGCAGGGACATCTTCAACTACATTAGGTTGCTCAGAGCCCTGTCTAACCTGACCTTGAATGATAGGACATCTACAACCTCTCTGGGAAACCTGTTCTGATGTTTCATCAGTCTCATAATGAGAAACTCCTTCCTTATATGTAACCCTGATTCCCTTGTTTAGTTTAAAACCATTAACTCTCATGTAATTGCAACAGACCCTGCTCAAACATTTGTCCCCATCTTCGTTATATGACAAAGGCTATTTTAGAAGTTGCCTAAAAGAGCTACCAACATAGTTTTATAAGTTATGTTGTCACTAATTTGGATATCTAAACTGGCTCACAGCCAGTTAAAACCCAGTACTGGCAAAGATTGCTATCAGTGAAAATTTTGTACGTTCCCATCCTGTGCACTATCCTTGCACAAATTAAGCTGTGCAAGAGCCTCTGCCTAACTAGGGAATGAAAACATTCTCTGTTTTTCAAAATACTGTCTAATGTTTTTAATGGTTTTTTGGATTTTCTTTTTGGTTTGTAATAGTTGCAATTATAAATGATGTGGATATACTTTTATATAATTATATAATAATGTTGATATTTGATATTTAGGTTTTGTAGAGCAAAGGCACAAAAAGGTCTCAATATTTAGTAGTATATTTAGGCCATCTAGGAGCTTAACAGGACTTTTGTGCTATGCCCAGCCCAACGGTAGGAAAGAACTGTGGCCATAATGCTTTAAAAGCAAAAACTGGTAGCTATGGATTAAGTTAAGCAAACAATATGGGAAAGTGGCTACAACACACTGCTAATAATCTGGAAACAAATGTAAGAAATGGTTTCTCTGAATTATGTGAAATTATCCAAAATGAAGCAGTCATTGAAATGCCTGAGATTTAACATCCTTATTTTTAGCCACCTTGTTAAGAATTCTGGTTTTCCAGGGAATACATGATCTGTGACATCCATCCACATAAACTGCAGTGGAAACAGGAAATCCTTAACTCAACATTTACTGGCACTCTAGTGATCCCAGGGCTTCCAGTTTTCCAGGGTGAGGAGTTATTTTGAGTGTCACCATTCTGAGGCGCTAAACTCAACTATCAGAGGGTAAACACTCAGCTGCTCCCAGAATTTAAACCTCTTTGGAGCACATCCCACAGAGTCAGAAATCGGGGTTTCAAAATCTATGGTCAAATATGAAATAAATTGGTCTGTAGAGGAGTTCTCTCATAATTATTTTTGCTATAGTATTGCTTTGGGAGAGAAATTGGATTGAGGATCCCACTGCAGACACTACCTGCTCACCTTTGGGGCTTGGATGCATTCTGGACCTTCCACTTCATCCTGCATAGGAGCTGCCAGCATCATCCTACAGCCTGCCACATCCCAGCAGCTCTGTGTGAATGTGTGTGGAAGGTGTGCAGACAGACCTCACACCCTGTCCAAGGCTGGTTATGTAGCCAGGCCACCCACATGGGGAACTACAAAAGGTTGGGCAGGTACTCATTTTAATTTGTCTTGAAGCAGAAGCATTATTGTATGCACACAAACATGATCTGGAACATGCACCAAAAACCTTGGCTTAAAAGCCACAGAGGGAAAAGATGGCTTTGCATGTTAAGTTAAAGAGTTCTACATTCAGAGCAAATCCCTGTGTTTCAGGTGATTCCTTATGGACTTTTGCATTCAATGCTCCCACACACTGGAGGGCTTCCTCTTGTTAAAAAAAGGTAAGTGAGCTGGGAATACTCTTTCCAAAGGAGCTGGAGACCACCGAGCACCCTCTGCCTCCTTCATATCTGTAACAATTTCATTCCTGGAGGCTGCTGTGAAGCTGAGGTTGGTGAATCAAACCTCACCAAGGGTGGACTCTGAAAGGCCGCAGAAATAATGTCTCCAGCACTATGAAAGGCTTCTAGCACCACTTCAAAAGTAGGTTTGAGAGAGGCTGCGCACCATATAAGCATAAGCATATGAATTAAGCCTCCTTTGGGCAAATCACAGTGCAGAAGCTGTAACAAAAAGGGAAAAAAATAGACCAGCAGCAAGTTAGAGAGGAAGGAAGTGTGATTTTCTCAGGAGATAAATCCAGAACAAAGGTGGTGAGGTGAGATCCTGAAAATCCTAACGCATGACACCACCACCATTCATTGCTACAAAACTCTCCATTTCAGTTTAGAACAGAAACTGCACAGAGTCCAAAATATGTTACCAACTGCCTAACAGAAAAAGATTGAAACTCCTAGTATTAATGGGCAATTAAAGCTCTCTGTTTTCTTTTGCCATGTGTTAGTTTATGTTCCATGTATGAGATCTTACATGACTTTCTCAGTTTGTTTCATCCTAAAGCTTTTGACAGAACTGACAGCATAAAAGTGTGTGGCATCATCTGAAAATGAGATTAATAATTAGATTGAATTTATGCAGCAAAAGCATGAGCTTATGAAAACAGATGTCTAGGACTCATGGGATGTTTGAATGTTCAGTGGTTGTTAGCTTACAAAAGAAGGAAAACACCTGAAAAATTTCTAAATGCTTAGTCATCAGTGATGGATAGGACAAAAGTAAAAAAGCTTAAGATGAAGATGATTTAGGTTAGGCATTAGGAAGAAAAAAAAATATAGAAAAAAAATGGTGATGTACTGGGATAAATTTCCTGTAGAATTTATATTATATTCACCACTAGAGATCCGTAACAACAGTCAGTGTAGCTGCCTTTCAGGAATGATCAGAGACTGTGCTTTGGGACAGGGAAATGACAATTTTGAAGGTCCCTATCAAGTGTACATTTCTGCAGTCCCTCAGAGATGGAAGGCTTACTTTCCCACTTACTGCTCCTTCTGCTGTGTCTCATCTGCAGGGGTCTTGGGGCCCTTTTGGATCAGGAATCTATATATGATAAGAATTTGCCACTGCACCGTTGCTGAGCAATATGAGACATTCCTTGGTCCCACTATACTGTTTGCATTTAGTTCTCCAGACTACCAGACTAGGGAGCAGCAAGGAAGTTTTGCAAAATAAATTCCCTTCTCTTCTGTGTCAGTGTTCCTACTAATTCACAAGACTCAGTCTGTCCTAGATGAAACTGGAAGGCTTGCCTGTGACCTACAAAGAACCATTCCAGCCCTTGCCTGGTGACCACCTGGCTGGCCATGGAGCGCAAAGGAGCACTGTAGATACCCCACTTCCAGTTCTGATGCAGCCTTGCTTATCCCAGTAACTATCTTCTCAAAGCACAAGGCTGCCTGCTAGGACTAACATTTGAGAGATCAGCTTCTAATTTATTTATTGCAATGTCAACACCGAATAATTTAAGCATATTTTCCACAGATGACTGCACATTTTTTTTAACACGCTGTTTCATGTCTGAGTGCCACAAAGCATTCCAAGATTTTTTTGCAAGCTGTCATATATTTTTTGGCATTACATAATCATATGATCCACGAGCTGCTAGTGGACTTTTTATCTGACTCTAGAGCTCTGTCTGTCTGCAAGGCTCCTTCTTCCATTTGTCTCAGCTACGAAACATGAATTTGAATATTCTTGTGAGCGAACCAGCATGTCTGTTGATGTGAGGTTCTGTATCAATTGTCTTATTATCTCACTGAAAGGCAGAATGCTGAGAGGGTCATCTCTCCCTTCACAGAAAATAGCTTGGTGCTAATTTCTGATTGTGCCCTCGTATATCTACATCCATAAAAAAAGAACTGGATTTTTTCCTATGCAAATAATTTCCTTTTCATGATTGTTTCTTACAGGATCTTGAAACACCTTCCATTAAGATTCTTAATGAAATATTGCAGAGGTTGCTTTTTGACAGTCACAGCTTTTGCTCACTTCCCCAGCATTTTCTGGTTGCTGGTATCATGTGCCCACATTTAGTCATCTGATCAGTCATACAGATTCAGTATTACTTTCAAAAGATCGGCAGAATTGCTGGCACATTAAAATGAGTCATTTGTTTGAATCAGGGTCCGGATCTCTAAGAAAGCCTGGAAAATTGGTCTTGACATAATAAAGTGTTTATAAAGCTAAGTATTTTAAAGCAGCTTTCACTTCACCCATACTTCAGCTGAGCTGCAGCAGAAATGTTTGCCTCATTAAATAATTTGGGGACACATGGGCTGAGGTA